ATGATCCTCAACCCGACGATCCAATTGATTGATCTGGCGGCCGAAGCCCGTGGCTTGTCGACCCGGATACTCAATGGTGGCGTCACGCCCGTCGATGTCGTCCTTCCGCGGCGGCATCTTGAATCGTGTTGAGTTCTAATACCAACTGATGTAGGGAAAGCGTACGAGTGGAAGGATAAACGAGTAAACGAGATACTCTCTCGTAAAACACGCAAAACTCGCAATACTCTTATTTCATTTCAATGATCAACTATCTCATAACAAAGCAGAAGAACCCTTTAAACAAGGCTTCTAACCCTAGATCTTAATTTGTCCAACAAGACAAAATATCTTACTAAATATAAAAAATCAACTATCTCATAACAAAGCAGAAGAACCCTTTAAATAAGGCTTCTAACCCTAGATCTTAATTTGTCCAACAAGACAAAATATCTTACTAAATATAAAAACCTAACTTATTCTCCAAGATAACTAATAATAATAATAATAATAATAATAATAATAATAATAATAATAATAATAATAATAATAATAATAATAATAATATAACAACAACAATAATAATAATATTCTACACCAGTTCGATTATTGAACGAGTCTAATTTCTGTTCTAGCTCGACACGATTAACAAACGAACGAGCTTTTATCGAACGCGAACGAGCTTTTGTTCGCGAATGTTCGCTCCTCTGCAACCATGCACAATATCTATGATGCATATGTAATTATGCATTAACTGCTAAATTCGTACTTAAAATATTTAGTTAACAAAACAAAAAGTCTCTTATTTTTAAATATTAAAGTACTTTTAAAAAATATAAATGATTATTTTTATTCAAGAGACATTAGTTAAATGTAAGACCCATTGTCATTCGTTATAATATTTTTTTGAATTAGACTTGACATACTCACGGTGTGATTGTTTATGAATTGTACAGTAAATATTTCACTCAAGACTCAAATTTAACTAAACTCAACTATCTCCAATATCATCAATATAATTAAATAATATCAAACAATCATTATTACACACCACATCAACTTTAATTCACTATTCATCCACTCACATAATTTAACTAACAATCACTTCCAATCATTTTATTCTACTTTTACATCAAATCAACTTTATTTATTTTAATTTAAATATTATTTTAATATATCCACTAACAACTAACCATACTACTTTTTTTTCAAACTTAACTATAGTTAAAAAAATCATTTTTTTACTAGTTGAATTCATATCCAATCACCCCCTCAATTATTTTAACTAATAAATCATATTTTTATTATCTATCAATTAAAATTAACAAATAAATCAATATTATATTATCGATTTCTAAATGCGTGTCTTTGTTATGTTCGCAAAATATTTTCACTACCCGCAAGTGTACGATAGAGATATATTATGCGGCGAGCAATGTCGTGTTTCACATAGATGTTTGTTCAAATAATTAAGTACAAAAATGTAGACGATTAAATATTATTTAGACTAACTCAAATTGAAAGGGTGAATTAATCCTAAATTAATGAATGATTGCAAATGGAAGGGTGAATTAATCCTAATTTAATGAATGACTGAAAAATAAATTCTAATACTATCGAATGATTGTTCTAAAATAAATCAAGAATGAAGAAATAGATTATAGACTTAGTTTTCCTCGGAATTATTCTAGCAAATATTTATTATTCATTGAAATATTATTTAATTCTACCAATTGTATGGATAATCACTATAGTAATTTAACATCCCTCTCCAGTAAGCTAATTCGTTGATTAACTATTATCTATCTCCTTTTGTTCTCAAGATGAACAATTAACTCCCATAGTTCCTAAGATTCTAGCTCTCTCGCAAGTAACTATCAACTTTCGGTTTGTTTAGTCTACTACATTATGAATTTTCCAATTCTAGTAACCAATTATCTCCTCTCGGTCTGAAGTCAATTACAAATATGCATAAATACGTGCCCTTTATTCACACATTTAATATAAGAATAAAAAATTAATAAACGAAAGGTAGACCGAAATAAATAAATAAAATCGCTTCATAAAATAATTCGAGTACTCACAAATCCTTGAATCTCAAATAGGTTCAGCTACTAAACATGTTCTCAAAACTCAAAATAAATAAATCCATGAGTTCAATGAAGAAGAAAAAAATAAATAAAAGAAAGAACAAATATTGTCGCCGTTAGTTCCCGAATCTTTAATATTGACTTCCTCGATTTTCTCGTGTGTTTCGTGCTTTCTCTTGGCCTCCAAAGATGTCAACAATTTCCAAAACCGAGTTCTCCAAGTTTTGTTCATATTGTAAGGTAATTATGAGTCGAAAAAAGGAAGAAATCGCATAAGAAATCTAGTTCCCGCATACTTGACCTGCGCGACACATGACTCGCGTCATATAGTCACACGAGTCGTGTGACTTTTCTTCAATTTTTGCCAAACTCTCAGACTCACATGACCAATCACACGACTTGTGTGACCTTCCACATGACCCGTGTGAAAATGCCGTAGCAAAACTCTTATTTTCTTCACTCATATGACTCGCGTCACTGACCCACACGAGTCTTGTGTCCTTGACTACACCTCGTTTTTGCCGTTTTTCATCTCGATTCTATTTTTTAACGTTTTTTCGAGCATATTTCCTACAAAACTAACAACACAGATACATTTATCATAGATTAATAAATAAAATAAAATGGTGCACAATCAAACGATAAACATAGCCAAATATCATAATATATCACTCATAATGTATGTGAATACGATGAATGTCATGTACCCAATGGCGTTCACCACCATTGGATGACAGTGTGTATATAAGATAAAGAGAGGATGAGATAGGAAGTCATTGGATGACAATGGGTATATAAGATAAAGATGGGATCAGATAAGAAGGTTGAGACATTCAAGACTAATCTTGTTGTGAATGGTTATACTCAGAAGTAAAATAGTAAAGAGGGAATTGGTTATGAGCAAACCTTTTTGCTGGTAGTCATGTTTAATTCCATTAGAATTCTCCTAGTTGTTGTCGCTCATAGGTTATGAAATTTTGAATATGAATGTCAAGACATAAAACTTTTTGTTTTTTTAGAAATTTTTCCATACATAACGTTTATTTGGTATGTTCTCATATTGTTATTTGTTAATTTTCTCTATCCATAACTATTTTGTGTTTTATTGGTAGATAGCTAGTACATTTAATAAATCATTTTTTTATTTGTATGTTCTCATATCGATATTTGTTAATTTTTTTACTTATAACTATTTTGTGTTTGATTTGGTAGACAACTTTTACATTTAATAAATATTAGTCTTTAAAACTTTTAATTAAATACACAAGATTTCTAAGATCTTAAAAAGTATTTAGAAATCTAACACAAATACACCCCGTAAATACTTCATCAGATTTCAAGAACTGGTATATTTATTTGAAAATTAAAAGGTGTTAAAAAGTCTTGATTATTAGAATAGATTTAAAAAGTCACAATAAGTTATTCAATTTATTTATCACTTTGTTTTTTAAGACTTTGTAAGGCTTACTAGATTTTGAAGAAAAAATACATATAACAAATTTCACTTCAAATCCTACATCCAAGCATCAAGATTCGAGGGATTATTTGGATGTCATTAGATTAATTAAAAAAATCTTAAACTTTAAAAAATATAAAATTGTCAGTTAAAATCTCAAACATTGAAGGTAAAATTTAATATTCTAATTATTCACTATCTATCATGCATTGTCCCTTTTTGGACTAAATTTTGGCAAAGTTAACCTCCCACCAAATTCCTTAAATAGCTTATTAGCTAAATAACTCATTTGATTACTTTTTGGAGCAAAAAAGCTAATTCATCTTGAGAAGTGATGATTAATATGATAACATGTCAACATAAAAATTATAGAATAACTATAGTTTTGCTATGAAGCCAACACCACAGTACGCTCAATCTTTTATACATAACAAATAAATTATATCATATTGATAAAATTATTAAGATCAAACAATCCTCCTTATATATAATTCCCGAATGCGCTGAGCCTACGTGGCTGCTTCTGGTGCTTCGGAATCCTACTTGGCGAACAATCATGCTTCATAGTTAGGTTTGGACAAATAATATTATATATTAATAATTGATAATTTAGGTTCGATCATTCCAAAAATATTATTTAGCTAACTTAGGTATTTTAATATCAATTGTACTAATATAACCCTTTAATTCCTTGTAATTTTAGATAGTGAGTCACTATGTGATTAATATATCCCTGGTTTTTTATTTATTTCCTACAATTAGCTAGTGAATTGTAAATGTATTTTAAAAGTTGATAATTTTTGTATTTCTTATCAGTTTTACATATATAATATATTAAATTAATCATCTTTTGATGATCTTCGATTTAACATCCATATTGTATATATAATATATATAAATTATATTTATCTTTATAATAATAAAAAATAATAATATTTACTAAAATTCATTAGAAAAATACAATTATTTCTCAATTGATATATTTATGTTTAATGTAGTTATATGTTGTAAGTTAAAAAATTATTATAATATAACACAAGTAAGTCGCAAAAATAAAAAGTGTCATAGTCAATATAATAATATTAATATTTTTAAAAGGTACTTAAATTTTTAACTATAATTTTAGATTTTAAGAAAAAAAAAATCGGGCGTTATACTAGTTATTTACAAACAACTAATAGTATCTGGTGACGTTTGTAAAATTTTTATGGTATAAATTATCCGCTAATATACAAAATAGGAATTATTTGTTTTTCCCTAATATAAAGGAGTACTATCTAAAATTAGTATGAGGTTTTCAAGATATTTAGGAAACCTAAAAAAACAAGAGTCCTATCTGGTAAATGTGAGGTTTTGAAAAGATTTAGGTAACGTGGCATCACCGCCTTCGACAAATATGAGAAATATCCGCGAAAGATAGTGCGAAATATGAGGAATATCTGCGAAAAAGGAGAGATTGTGTGTGTGGATTTGCAAATTGGACGATGGAGAAGCTTTTGGTACAGGAAAAGGTGTGAAGGGTAATACGTACCTTTTCGAATTTGGAGAGACAGAGAGAGAGAGCGAGAGAGAGAGAGAGAGAGAGAGAGAGAGAGAGAGAGAGAGCCCAATGGGGCATCAAAAAGCCACACACTTTACGTTTCTTGCCTTCTTCTTCTCTCTATCTTCTCTCCACTTCCCCAGTTGATGGTAGCTTTTCATAATCGCATTACTTTGGGCGGTGCCCATAATTTTGCTTCTCTATTTTATTTATCTCAATCAGTGATATCGCTTTCTTATTTAAGGAGTTTTGACAAATTTGGTTGCCAATTTCTTTATCAGTTTTTTTGGTGAGTAGAATTGAATGCTGGGGCCGGGCAAATTTTTTAATAGTGGGAATGGTTAAAAAACTGATCTTGATGCAAATGGAATGATCTGTTCTCTTTTCCTTTTTTTTTTTTTTATTTATTTGGAGAGAATAGGAAAGTTTGCTGGGGATGGTATCAATGGCGTCGTACCAACTCATCAAAGAAGGGGGCGCGAGCGTTGATGTTGAGTCTGCTTTGCACGAAACCGATAATAAATCTTCATCGTCTTCTCCGGCCCACTCGAGCTCGGGCTGTATTAGGTCATCGTCTTCGTCATCTGCTCGTCTTGTATCCCTTGACATTTTTCGTGGCATTACTGTTGCGGTTGGTAACATTATTCAATTTGATCATCTAACTCTCTACTGTTACGCTATCTTTTCCAGTGAGATATTTAGCAGACCATTTACGAGTAACATACATGTGCAAGTAGTAGGTGACTTGATAGGTAAATAGAACCAAAATAGGCTTGTTTTCAACACTTCTAAGTGGGTAGTTGTGATTTTGGAAGTGTTTGAAGTTTTGTGCCTTGCTCCCTTTTGTTCCTTATTGTAATTACATTAAATTCTCTGGGTTCTTTGTAATTTGTTGAAAGAATTGTACAGTGCAAAATAGCAATTTTTTTTTTTTTTT